GGTTTCAGTCCCCTCCCCCCCCACCCCCCGGCGGCCCGGGGCCCCTTTCTCCTGGCTTCCTCGCCTGCTTCCACCCCCTGCCGCGGCCAACATCCGCTCCCCATTGAAGTTCACATTCTTTGAGGTGCACGCCCCCCTCGGCCAGGGATCTTTTTCTTTTTTTTTTTATTAAAAAAATTTTGCGGCGAAATAACGGATCGGGGGAGGGGAGTGCGGCGAAGCATTTGATACCCCTTTTTTTGTTTTTATATTTGTGGTATTTAAAATGGAGACCTTTAAAGAAAGGGAATATTGTTGAGATTTGGAACATCACATTTTTTCAGTTAAACGGTACGAACTCGTTCTTCCCATTTCCCGGAAATACTGGTCGCCCTTGGAAAATAGGGCTTTAAGGAGCCTCTACCGGGAGGACGCTGATTACTAAATTGGATTAGTCCAGAACCTGCCTTTGTTCTCACAATTCCCTTAATTGCTTGGAGTTGCCGTTAGAATTTTTTGAAAGAGATCTTATCACAAAATGAGAGTTTATATTTCACAAATAATCCCTCTACTCTTCCCCTCCCCCCCCAATAAAATATTTTTGCTATCTTTGTGTAATCTACATTTTTCTGTTCTGATTTTAAGTAGGGAAAGTAAGCAGTAGTGATTAGCGTTCTAGAAAAACTTCCCCTTTGTCATTTGACATTTTTAAGGAGTTATATGTATTTGTAACATTACTTTCGAACTGTTTAACATGTCGCTAAAATTTTAGGGTGAATATGTGTGTTTGGCATTATTCAGAGTGTAGAGTTGACTTAAAACTGTTAAACACGTTAGCAGTACCTACATACAACCTAATGCTACTATGCCTTTTGTGAAAAATGAAGGATGTGGATAAACAATAGAGATAAATTGTGGTCAAGTACCCTTAAATGTCTGTTTTCCTGGTATTGTAAAACAGTAAGGATTTTATCATAAACTCCATTTTTTATCTTCCTAAATCTTGGATTCCAGCCTCCCTTTATCAGAAAGATACATTGCCTCTATGTATCTTTTTTGTATGTTCTTAAAATTGGCTCTTAATATTGAGATTTAGAAAGCTTGTCTGTTTCAGGTCACCCAGGGACACAGACAGTCCTTTTCATTAACTGAGATATTAAAAAAAGATACCTGTTTCTTACAAAGAAAGTCTTTTTAAGGAAGTGAACATAAAAATTTGGGGTCTTTTTATGATGTTTTAGGTCTGAAGATTTACGACGTGAATTTGGTCGTTATGGTCCTATAGTTGATGTGTATGTTCCACTTGATTTCTACACTCGCCGTCCAAGAGGATTTGCTTATGTTCAATATCCTTTCTTCAGAAGGCTGATTAGTGAGGGGTGTTGAAGTTTGAAATTCAAGTTTATGTAAGAGGTAACATCTAAAAAGTAGTTTACTTTTGTCCTTTAATAAATGTCTATGTCTTCCCATTTTTAAAAATTAATTCTAACTCACATTGCTCTGTTTAAGTTAATACAAAATAGTAAGACATTTAAATTCCCCTGTATGCTGCTGAAACTCAAATCAATGATTATAGCATGTGACTTAATTTGAATACACTGATTTCTACCACCTTTAATGTAAGTCAAATTAAAAGTTAATATGTTCTTGTGCTTAGCAATGAAAAGTTTGGTATTCTTGTTTGTTAATTTGAATCACTTGATCGAAACAAATTGTATAACAATGAGGTAAACTCTTTAATATTGTCCCCTAATTTGCTGTCCTCTGTTGTTACCTCAGAGAATGTAAAGCTGTACAGTTATGGCGACCCCAAAGAGAAAGCATGAAAGAACCTTTAGAGTAGAGTTCAACACTTAAGGCAAGTAGACAAGCCAAAGACCTCTTAAGGATCAGGCTTGAAGAGAAGGGAGAGTTTGGGAAAAGAAAAAGTAAAGAAAAGCTGGAAGAAGGACAAGCCTAATGGGAGACAAAGCCTCGCTTTATCTACAAAAGGGGGAAAAGGTTGTTTTTCAAAGTTAAAGATAAAGCCATCTGTCATATTTGGCCAAGCATCTCATGACAAGTCCTTCTGACAAGCACTTAAAGAGTTAAAGGTCAAGATGAAGTTGAATGATGGCCAAGATTAAAGGAATCATACCTGATGTATCCTACAGAACAACTATTTTCCTTTTTTTTTCTTCCCTTCATGTTTTGTAAGCAGTTAATTTTCAAAATTATTCTGGTTTGGTCTAGGGACAAAACCTGTAACTTGATTTATGTGGGCCTTTGATGTTGTGATTGTGGTCTTATATAATGCACTTTCTTAGCTTTGCAAGTTAAAGTGTACCAGGATGTAATGTTTTAAGCATACAATTTAGCATATTTCTGTTTTGGACCAGGTGGTCAGATGCCATAGGATAGTAGGCAGTGCCCTTTAGAGGAGTAGCATGAGGTTCTCTGGTCAATCTGACTCCACAGAGCCATGCTTATGCTTAAAAGAAGAGAGATGCATGCACTGGGAACTACTTAGAAACGCTTCTGGTTGTATTGCAGGGTCAGATCTGTAGAAACTACCTGTCTATAGATTTTTAAGTGGCTGCTGTGGGGCACACACATCTTCCTAACTTCTGGAACTTGGGTCTGTTATTCCTGCTGACCATGCACTGCTTTAGCACTTATGATTGGTTGGCTCTGAATAGATTGGAAAAGGCCTTTGGAAATCATTCCCTCGCCCAGAGTTTCACAGTGACATTACTTCACTGAGATCATCTCTCTGAGACAGGTTTGGGCTGTGTACTTCAGGCTAGGGAAATTTATTTCTTATTGCTTAAGTTCAGTAAGTCTCTTGAAACTTAGCAGAGCCCTAGCCGGTTTGGCTCAGTGATAGAGTGTAGGCTTGTGGACTGAAGGGTCCCAGTTTTGATTCCGGATAAGGGCATATGCCTGAGTTGCAGGCTTGATCCGCAATGGGAGGGCATGCAGGAGGCAACTGATCAATGATTCTCATTGATGTTTCTATCTCTCCCTTCCTCTCTGAAATCAATCAATAAATAATGGAAAAAAATTATTTAAAAAGAAGAAACAGTGGAATCCTAGTGAGACTTAATGAGCAAATGTGGAAAGTTGCTACTCCCACAGGGCCAGTGATCAAGGACAGTTGTGGCAGTTTGTTGCAAAGCTGTATTACAAAGAGAATAAAAGATGTCTGATTTGACTTTTTTTTTTTTAAGTAGCAATGCATTCTGGCTTACAATGTTGACCTGGTTTTAGAGTGGCCTGTGACCCAGGATCAGCAGTAGTTTGACTCAAGAGTATGTGATACTTGAGACAGAAAGAGTTGTCATCTAAAGAAAAATTGCCTTTTTTTATACACATACTAGAGGCCCAGTGCACGAAATTCATGCACTTGGGGAGAGTCCCTCAGCCTGGCCTGCACCCTCTCGCAGTCCCAGAGCTCTAAGGGGATGTCTGACTGCCAGTTTAGGCCCACTCCCCACAGAGGCAGGAGAGATTCCCGGTACTGACCACCAGGGGGAAGCTCCTACGTTGAGCGTCTGCCCTCTGGTGGTCAGTGCATGTTATGGCAACTGGTTGTTCTGCCATTCAGTTGATTTGCATATTGGCCTTTTATTATATAGGATAGTCTTTTCTATGCTCTTAAAGTAGTTTTTTTAAGAAGACTGAGTAGCAATTTCTCCATCTGTGTCATCGGCATGATATTTGGCTGCCCCTTCTGTGGCCACTTGCCTTCTCTTAAAGGTAAAGTAGAACCTTGCCATTTGTTCATCCAATCCAGGATTCTGGTTTTGAGGATAGCTAAAACGGATGATTTGGTCTCATTAATAATTTTTACACCTCTTGATCTAAGTCCCTTAAAAGTTTATTACATTCTGTTGCTTGAAGTAACAAATAAATTAGTATACCCATTAAGTGAACCTATTTCTTTTAATTATTTTAGAACCCAACTGCATTAACCTTGAAGGCTGATCTGTTACAGTATTAAATTCCCAATCAGTCTTTGTCTTGTCATATTGAAGGTCCTATGATTTTGGACTTGGGATAACCTCTCCCTCTACATTAACTCATATATAATGTCCTCAGGAAAGGGGAGCTGGGAACCCACATGGTCCTTAATTTATTTCAGAACAAAAAAATAGGAAATCTAGTGAGGCCAACCTTTTAGTCTCTGGGAAAAAAGAATATCAGTGTCAGTCTTGAAGGGGGAGAGGGAGGGAAAGTGTCACTTGGAGTAGTTTTCACTCTGCTCTCAAAAATATCTCAAATTTAAGAAATAGAAAAATAGGCAAGTTTAAATCGTGCCTTAGGATAGAATGAAAATCCACACTCAAACCTAACTAGCTCCCTTTCCAAAGCTTTTACATCAAGTACTATTCTGAATATGTGCTTGGCTTCCATTAGAATGGTGGTTTTAGGAAAGGCACTAAATTTAGACAGAATAACTGAAAAGCCAAGAGTTTGTGGTATTGCTGACATTGAGAGAACAAGGCAACTTAGCCTCTGAGGTAAAAACCAGGGACCAAGAGCCCAGTTGGCATGGCTCAGGGCTGAGCATCTACGTATGAACCAGGAAGTCATGGTTCGATTCCTAGTCAGGCATACGCCCGGGTTGAGGGCTCCATCCCCAATGTGGGGTGTGCAAGAGGCAGCCTATGCAAGGTACTCATCATTGATGTGTCTCTCCCTCTCCCTTCCTTTCTGAAATTAATAAATATATATTAAAAAAACAAAACGGGGACCAAGAGTTCCTGCTTTATGTTGCTAGATAATATCAAAATTCTCAGGTTAAAGGTAGTCCCAAACTCACTTCTTGGTTGGATGCTGTGTTAGTATCATTGATGTTACGGCTTTTCAGTCCAGGAATCTTTATAGAAATGGTCAGTTATTTCTTGAGAGCATGCGTGTCTGTGCATGGCTGTAATACACGTTTGGTACAGTGATATCTTGAGTATTGCTTGATTCTGTTTTTGATTATATTATTGCAAGTGGCTAGTTACCATTCTTCCCTGTGTGGTATAAAGGAAGACTACTACATTAAGCAATAGTGTTAGATATGTCTGAGAAAAAACAGCAAAATTTAAGGTTAATGCTTTCCTCTCGTAGGTGAGGTATATTCATTCTGCTTGCTTACACAAGAACTATTGGCATTTTCTTTTTTTCATTTGAAATAAAAATAGGAAAAACAGTTTTGGTTTTATTTTTTAAGGGATTTTTGTCTTAACATACAACAGAACTGACACTTGTTTTTCTTTTTGTCTTATTTTGTAAAGTTAATTCTTAAAACAGGAAAGTTTTTTGATAGGATTATTTGGTTATTTCAGCTATAATTTATTTCAATAATAGTTTGACTATTTTTTCACATGTGTTTTCAATTGTATGCCTTGGAAATTCACAAGTGCTTTAATATTGTGAAGTATTTATAGCTGATTCAGCCAGCTAGTGAGGGGTCTGATAGATGTTCTAAAGCAATAATGAGAGATTAATAATTTTGTGAATTTTTCAAGATTTTCCAAGTGAACTTTCACTCATTATCAAAGTTCGCAAAATTTCCCAAGCCCCTTAACATTTAGCACATTTGAAGATGTTCGTGATGCCGAAGATGCTTTACATAATTTGGACCGAAAATGGATTTGTGGTCGCCAAATTGAAATACAGTTTGCACAGGGAGATCGGAAGAGTAAGTACCCTTATGCCTGATACGTTTATAAAGCATCATTTGAAAAGATAGAACAGTGGTTCTCAACCTTCCTAATGCCGCGACCCTTTAATACAGTTCCTCATGTTGTGGTGACCCCCAATTTCATTGTTACAAATTGAACATAATTAAAGCATAGTGATTAATCACAAAAACAATATGTAATTATATATGTGTTTTCCGATGGTCTTAGACGACCCCTGTGAAAGGGTCGTTCGACCCCCAAAGGGGTCGCGACCCACAGGTTGAGAACCGCTGAGATAGAATATCTTCAATACTTTGTTTCGTCATATTTTTAGATGTATTACAAAGTTTTGGGGTAGACATAAGGTAATGTAGAGATAGGAATGCCTGAATTATGTTTGGACTCTTAAGTACATTGATGCTATCAGCTGTGGCATGTTTAATATACTGGGAGTGAAATTGAAGGATAAAATTCAGAAAATTTTGGGTCTCTTGAGCTATTTTTCTGCCTTATAAAACATAATTGGGTGATTATGTGAGTGTATATAGCTATGAATTAGACTGGGAAAGGCTATATAGATTAAACCTAGAATAGATTTTATATTAGTGGTTTTTATTAGTATGCAGATGTTAACTGTGCTAATGGAGGCAGGAGTACAGGCTTTGAAATCAGATAGACCTGGGTTTGAATTCTGTCTCAACCATTGATACCTTGGACAAGATATAAAAATATAGTGATTAAAATAGCTGATGAAGAGAGGAGGAGTGCTTAGGTAAACATAAGCTATTGGTAATCTCTAAGTCTTGGGTCGGATGATGGGTTCCTGGGTGTTCACTATGTTATTTATGCATACATACATATGTAAAATACCTGCTTCTTAGAATTGAATGAGGTAACATAAATATTGAGGGCTGTCTAGGGGTGTGGGTGTGTCTAAGGCATTCAGTAAATGTTAGCTCTCATGCTTTTCTTTGTTGTGGCCTCTTAAAATTGTATGACAATATATTACTGCCTTTTTTAAAATATTTTTTAAATTGATTTTGGAGGAAGGGAGGGAGAGAGAGAAACATCAATGATAGAAAATCATTGATGGGCTGCCTCCTGCACGCCCCCTACTGGGGATGGAGCCTACAACCTGGGACCCTTCAGCCCACGGGCCAACGCTCTATCCACTGAGCCAAACTGGCTAGGGCTATTACTGCATTTTGACACACATTGTTCATAGGTTACCAGTAAGTATTTTATCATTGTTAATTGTATTCTTAATGAATGAAAGTCAGGGTGCGATGATTCCAAAATAGCATTTAGTTCAAAAGTCATTTATATATTTCTAAGTATTTCTGTTCTGTGTATTTCATAGCTCCAAATCAGATGAAAGCCAAGGAAGGGAGGAATGTATACAGTTCTTCACGTTATGATGATTATGACAGATACAGGCGTTCTAGAAGCCGAAGTTATGAAAGAAGGAGATCAAGAAGTCGGTCCTTTGATTACAACTATAGAAGATCCTATAGTCCTAGAAAGTAAGTGTGATGTAGCACAGTGATCTATCAAGAAAGATTTATGTTTGTTAGCTTTAAATTTTTTTAAATTTTTGTGTACTTTTAATTATATACATTGTATGCTTTGTTAAGACTAAAAATATTTTAGTGTTTCATTTTAAAAGTTTTATGGTTCACTTTTTTAATTAGAAACTTTATAAGACTGTAAATAGACATTTGTCACTGTTTGCTTTTTCTGGTGTACTTTTTAGCAGTAGACCGACCGGAAGACCACGGCGTAGCAGAAGCCATTCCGACAATGATAGGTAAATAACTTTGCTTTGAAAGAGACTTATACATTTTTTCAATTTCAGAGTGAACTTTTGCTCTAAAAATAATAAATTTGATTAATATAGAATCTAATTTTTACTCTAATTGTATCTCTCCTCTGTTTTGAAAGATTCAAACACCGAAATCGATCTTTTTCAAGATCTAAATCCAATTCAAGATCACGGTCCAAGTCCCAGCCCAAGAAAGAAATGAAGGCTAAATCACGTTCTAGGTCTGCATCTCACACCAAAACTAGAGGCACCTCTAAAACAGATTCCAAAACACATTATAAGTCTGGCTCAAGATATGAAAAGGAACCAAGGAAAAAAGAACCACCTAGATCCAAATCTCAGTCAAGATCACAGTCTAGGTCTAGGTCAAAATCTAGATCAAGGTCTTGGACTAGTCCCAAGTCCAGTGGCCACTGATAGTATAAACCATGATATTTTTAGGCATGTATCATTCATTTACTCATAGTTTGGTTTACTTAAATTATCAGGAATACAATGTTGCAATGATGCTTACAAAACATTTGTCAGTTTTCCCTGTACCAGGCAATGGTTATAATTAAAGTGATATGCTGTTGAGAAGCCACTCTTAAGAGTCCAGTTTGTTTAATGTTATGGGCAGCTACCAATTTGTGGTGTCTCTGTATATTTTTGTAAAGATTCTCATTTTTTATGCTTGAAGTATTGGTGAAAAGATGTTGGTTGACCATAATTTGCAACATTGTCTTATTAAAAATAAACTCTTATATCCATATTTGGTAGACCTGTTAACCTAGAAATATAGCTTGCTAATAAGATAGAATGATACAAAAGTGAAGTTGTAGCCACAGTACACTGAGTGATCAGACACATTTAGGTTCAGGGTGGACCTTTTTGTCTTGTTAAGATGTCTAGGCCCGTGAAAATAGTTAATTTATGACACAGTGTGGAGTAGTTCTTTTCTTAACCCCACTTTCTTAGGGAATGATGCAATGGGTTAAGTAGCATTTCCAGGGAGATTGAGTGTTTTATTGAAACATGGAGCCTTCACTGCTTTTTTTCTGGTTTCTAAGAAGATTTGAAATATACAAACATCAGAAAAACTCACCTTAAAATTTGAACAGGTCAATGATGACAAATTTGAGGTGGAAATGATGCTCTAATGTAGTTAAGTTACTCTAAACTTAAAAGAACATTGTTGACCATAATAGCTTAGTTTTTGCTGCTGTTAAAAGCAAGTAAATTGTTTCACCGGAAGTTTGTGTACATAGTGTAAAAGAACTGAATTTTGATGCTTATAGCACTAGGTGTATGTGCATTTGTATCAAAATTTGCCTACCTCTTTATGAAGGAGGCTTGTTCTTCACATCTGTTTATTTAATGTGAGGCAAATTGAAAGACAACACTCCCATTCTAGGTGATTCTGTGGTGCCATGAAAAAGAATTGACTTTAAGTACAAGTCACATCTTTGAGTCTTTGATTATTGATGTAGTACCTGACTAAAAATGAGGAAAAAATTCCCTTAACCATTTATAATTTCTAGCATTTCTCTGAGAGATCGTTTTAGGGACAATAAAAGTTACTTGATGTGTCCACTCTCATTTCAGAATAAAAGCTAGCATCTTTAAAATTTTTAGATTGCTTGCTTGCCAGGTTATAAGAAATATTGTGGGAAAACGACTCCTTTTAGAGGATTGCTTTTTTCAATTTTGCTTTTAGTAATCTAGGCCTTGCCTGTAAAGAACAAAAGGTGGTTTTTAAATACTGTTTGTGGAATGTGTTTAAAGGGTTGATTCTAGAACCTTTGTATATTTGATAGTATTTCTAACTCATTTCTTTACTGTTTTGCAGTTAATGTTCATGTTCTGCTATGCAATCATTTATATGCACGTTTCTTTAATTTTTTAGATTTTCCTGGATGTATAGTTTAAACAACAAAAAGTCTATTTAAAACTGTAGCAGTAGTTTGCAGTTCTAGCAAAGAGGAAAGTTGTGGGGTTAAACTGTATTTTCTTTCTTATAGAAGCTTCTAAAAAGGTATTTTTATATGTTCTTTTTAACTAATATTGTGTACAACCTTTAAAACATCAATGTTTGGATCAAAATAAGACCCAGTTTATTTTCTGCTTGCTGTAAATGAAGCAAACATGCTATAATAAAAACAAAAATGAAGGAAATAATGATTAACTGGAATTATTATAGTTTTTAATGAGATCCTAAAATAACAATGGAAACAATCTTTTGTAGATTGAGGAATAGTTTTAATCAGTGTTGCTCTAGGCACAGCTAACTTTTATTTTGGAAATGAATAGAACTTACCAGTAAGGTACATCTTTTACATGGTACTTAAAAATTCCTTAGGTAATGTCAAAGCCCCTTGGGTTAAATAACTTAGAGGTTATTAGTAGTGTTAAGATATGCATTAAAGTGAAATTTGGTCAGCTAATTATAAGTTTAATTGGGTAGACCAATAATTCTGCTCTCCCCAGTTCTAAACAGGATATGTTAGATCTTGTTTATGGCATGGTTTAAAATGCTTTTGCATTGAATTTGATGAGCAATTAATACGTGGTAACTATTTTGGGGAGCTGGTTTAGATGTTTGAATTCCATCTACTAAATAATGGCAACAATTATAGCTGATAGTTATTGAGTATTTATGATGTGCCAGACACTGTTCTAAAAGTTTTTTATGTGTTAGCTCCTTTACTCTTCACAAAACCCTATTAGAAAGATACTTTTATTTTCCCCATATCACAGATAGTGAAATTGAGGCACAAAGACAGGGCCAGATTATTGAGTCCAGACCTGGTCCTCATGGTTGGATGGTTATTTTTTTGTTTGTTTTCTTTTTTTAATGGACTACAATTTGAGAAAAGTAGATTGAGGATATGATTCTCAGTCTCTCTAGAATTAAAAGACCTTATATTTTCATTTTTTTACTTGTGTCTCTTATTTTTAGACTCATCTATGTTATTTCTTAAATAAGGTATCTAACAGCTTCAAAAGGACTATATTATAGTTGAACCCATGATAGTTAGGATCCTACTGATACTGATGAGGATCCTTACACAGTGCTTTAATTTTGGGATACATACTTGAGTTACACAATTACTGAGTACCTACTGTGTGTCTGGCACTGTGCTTAATATATTAAAACATCAAGACTCAAGTGAGGGATGACACTTCACCTCCCTTTTTACATTTTGTTTTAAGCCAAATAAGAAGAGAAATGACAGATAATGCCTCAGTGAGAAAGAAAAGGTGTGCTACATAGTGTATGAGCTATTATTAATATATTAAAACATCAAGACTCAAGTGAGGGATGACACTTCACCTCCCTTTTTACATTTTGTTTTAAGCCAAATAAGCAAGAAGAGAAATGACAGATAATGCCTCAGTGAGAAAGAAAAGGTGTGCTACATAGTGTATGAGCTATTAAGGTATAACCCTGGGAACTATTGTACTATTCTCTTGAAAATCTGGCCCAGTAAGCTGCTACTCCAGTTCAACTAACAAAATCCTGTGTACCACAGAGAAGAATACAGAAAACCAAACTGACAAACATCCTTCTTTTATTTAAGACCAAACTGCAGCTGGAATTCCCAGTACAGTTCTGCTTACTGCACTTCAAGAAAGATCTGAGAAAGCGGAAAGAGAACCAAAGAAGGGCAGTTCAAGCGACCAAAGGGTGGGTGGAAGGTGCTGCAGTATGAATACTGTGTGAATATTTTGACTCTGGTCTGAAAAGATAAAAGAATGTTATTGAAACTACATGGAATAATTGAAGTCCCTTCAAGTTTGAAAGTAAGCATTTTAGGACAAATAAAAGGAAATTCACCTTTGTACTTGTGGAAACTAATCCCTAAATCTGAATAGGTTTATATTGATTCATGGATAACAGGTCCATAATAAATTACTGGAAACTAGGATGTCTGAATATCACAGTAGACAGCCTTAAGTCTCCTACAGTGCTTCTTTTGATCTGTCTGAAACTAAATTGGGTGAGAAAAGGCATGGTCCAATATAAACTTTTTCTTGGTTATCACTTAAAGTCAGATACGTTTTTGCTATTGGCAAATATTGCCTTTGTTCCAGTGCCAGCGTTTTACTGTTTAATGGTTTGCTTTGTTGGCATCTGAGTTTATTTACCTGTATGCCATGTGCAGTTTACATCTTCCTTAAACACTATTCCCAGGTAAATTCTAATTATAATACTTGACATCCAGTTAAGAGGTTCCACATCTCTTCTCACCTCTTTCTTAGCATATTCAGCAAACATTTACTGAGCCCTTACTATAAGCAAAAATTGTATTGGATAATTGGGAGGAAAATAGATTTAAAATTCACTTATTCAATAAAGGTCTGAGCACAATCTAGTGAATAACATTACAGTATGGCCTCATTGTTTTGAGGTGTATTGTTTGACAATATTTTACACCATTATCCTAATGTAATTATAAAACCCAGTATACTATCAAAGATAAGTAATTTTGTGGTTACCTGCCATTAAAAAGTATCTGGTATTTTTGTTTGCATCCCGTTAATACAAATAATGAAAAAATGATGTTTTGATCTGTAATAAACTGATTTATTGTGCAGTGACTGTAATATACTAGAATTATATTAAATTGTTAACTGACTCCTCAAACACACATTAGGAAATAATCCCCCCAAAAGTATTTCATTTTGCATTAGATATACAGGACACTGGGTGCTATAATTAGATTATTTTGAGGCAGACAGCTGTTATCCCAACTGATTTAGTATGTTCTGTAACTGAAAATGTTCACCAAGTTATACTTTTTAGTGATTGACATGTACATTTTGTAGGGGACATGTTCTGTGTATAGTGAATAAATAACTTTTATAGTATCACAAAATGTTTTGGATTCCTTAGTTCCTTACTAGGGTATGAGGGCTATTTGCCTATATATTGATTCCATCACTCATATTTTTGTCATGTTTCTGCCACATTTAAACTTAAAATTATTCATCTAAGAATATGGATTTGTAAAGATTTCGAAAATATAGCAGAATACACATATTAAGGGGAGGTATGAACTGGAGGTTAATGTATGTTTTTCAATCCTGAACTGGAGGTTATTTTTATTGTTAATTTTGAACTTGGCTAAGATACATAGAAAATGGCAGATTAGAGTCCATGATTTTTCATTTAGTTCATCTTTGTCACAGTTTTGCACTGCACTTTTTTTTTTTCCAAATGGGCAATTTTTTTTATAGCTTAAACTTTTAAGGGGATCTAAGGTTCACTGAGAGGGGAGATTTAATAGATTTATAAGATAGGTTTAATTGCAAAAAGTATTTTGTGACTCTTCTTAATGGAAGAGGTTAAATGTAACCCAAGCTCTCACAGCTGTTGTGACACACTTTTTCCAGGCTGGTTTCCCAAATTTCAATATTATATTGCATTTTGATCATATTCTCGTTTACAAAATCCCTGAGATATTTTGAAATAGGGGAGCTGTGACTTGGGACAACAGAGTAAGGTAGCTCAGGAATAATCTAATGGCGTTTTGCCAGGAGGTCTATTAAAGCCTTTAGGAATCCCAGGAAATAAACTGTTTTCATTGATAAAAAAAGTAAAAGCAACCTTTTTGTCTTCATTCAACTATTGGCATCTCTAAGATGGAAAGGTTCTTCGGAAAGGTTCTTTCTAGGGTTTTCATCCTCTGCCCCTTCTTCCAACATTGTTAATGTTTAGTGCTTTATGTTTATGTATTCCTAACCTTTGTTTCACCCTTATATTAAAGATGGGATTTTTTGTTGTTGTTTGGAATAAAAAGCAAGGCATGTAAATTCATTTCATTGATAATTGCTAGCGTAGTTTGTTAAGTAAAAGGCCTATGTGAAGTTTTTTTGGATCACATCTCTGAATTCTAGAGAGAAATAAACTGGTCTAGGAGCCAAAAAATATTGGGGCTTTCTTGTGTGTGTAAGGTTTTAAGGAGTTACACTGTCCTTGTTTTACAAAGTAATTGCCTATGAGAAAGCAATTAAACACTAGGAAACTTGCCCAAAACCCTTCCGTTTCTTTCCACTTTGTGCTTGCTTTTGGGAAGAGAACTTAACCAGAATTTAAATGTAAGGATAAGTTATGGACTCAAATTCCAGGTACTAGTCCAGCCGTGGGCAAACTACGGCCCGCGGGCCGGATCCGGCCTGTTTGAAATGAATAAAACTAAAAAAAAAAAAGACCGGACCCTTTTATGTAATGATGTTTACTTTGAATTTATATTAGTTCACACAAACACTCCATCCATGCTTTTGTTCCGGCCCTCCAGTCCAGTTTAAGAACCCATTGTGGCCCTCGAGTCAAAAAGTTTGCCCACCCCTGTACACTGCCATCAAAAGATAAGTTTAAATTTTAGCACTGCTATAAGGCTCACAATATGGCTGGTTTCAGCCCTACAGGATAGGTTCCTATAAGTATATTTTGGTTTCCTCAAGTACAGTGATTATTTTATACCTTTCTAAGGTATGTGATGTTGATATTCACCTTTTATTTAGGTTATCTTAGCTGTTAAAACTTTCCCCCACCCTCAGTCCTCTATCATTCCAATCATAAATGTCTTAACACTTTTATGTTAATTACCTACAAATCAGTTATTTCCCAGTTTGTATGAGAATATAGCCTTGCCATGCTAGTGTAGAATTTAAAGGATTATCAACAAACACTGAAACAGAAGAGGTCTCGTTCATTTTAGGAATTCTTGTGCTAATTTTTTTTTCTATAAACCTAAATCACCTTAGAACGTAGACTAGGAGGATATGTAATTAAACCTGTTTTACTCAATAGCAAATTCAGAAGCTTTATTTTGCCTGCAGCCTTTTGCTGTTAGTCTTGAGCAGGGGTCCTCAAACTTTAAACAGGGGGCCAGTTCACTGTCCCTCAGACCGTTGGAGGGCCGGACTATAGTTTAAAAAAAAAACTATGAACAAATTCCTATGCACACAGAACATATCTTAATTTGGAAGTAACAAAACAAAACGGGAACAAATATAATATTTGTATTTGCATGTGGCCCGAGGGCCGTAGTTTGAGGACCCAAAAAAGGTACTGGGTAGAAAAAGCAGCTTTATTTTTAATTCTGTGTTTCAAATTCATATATGCACATTTAAGTACAACATAAACTTGCCTTTAGGATATAATTATGAGTTGGGCAACATTAGCTCACTTTAATTTATTTGGAGAAATATAACTTGGTCATTCTGCCTGAAAATATCAAAAAAAAAACAAAAAACTGCCAAATTAGAAAGTAGGGCACTGACAATCAAATTATTTTAATGTTTTTATTGATTTTAGAGAGGGAAACATCGATCGGCCACCTCCTGTCCACTCTCCACTGGGATCACCCAGAATCTTACTGGTGACCACCTGGTCTGTGGGTCAATGCTCAACCACTGACCCACACCAGCTGGGCTACAATCAGAATTTTAATTGATCTTCACACATTTTTAATTTACTATTTGGTTAACACCCTTAGCATTTATTTTTAAAGTAGGTCAAACATGTTATCAAGATATGCAATAAGTCATGTTTTGCATAAGTGGTCCCCTGGTTGCTCTTAATGGTGACAAAACACTGGCATGATTAAATATACTTGTATCATAGGTTAAAAATATTCAAAGCCAATATGAATTTTTAAGGTTGGATAGACATTTAGCAAGTTTATCTTTGGGCTTAAAGAACAACAATTAAAATAGTCTCATACTGCATTTCACATCTTTTACAAATAGGAAGTGTTTTAGCAGCTTTAAAACCTTTTCAGTTATATAAAACAGTGACACTATGATTTACTTTGAAATATAGTTTACAACCAGATCAATTATACATACACTGGCACTTTAGCACAAGGGCAAACTTTATTTTGGACCTTTAAAATTAGGCCATAGTGTAAAAAAGAGTCCATGGTCTTACATTAGTGAATTCAATACTAAAAATACTCTTATTTTCGTTAAGATGAATGGTAAAACTTTACATATGCTACAAGTATATTACATGTATTTACATGGCTCTTTCTTTCCTAGGTACTTTCACATTATACAACTCCCTACTTTAAGCAAGCTTTGCAGGGATGATTTGAGGCCAATCACTATCAGAATAGCCTATGCAGTGCTATAATACAAAAATGTTATTTTAAAAAAGTTACTCTGTGACCACCAAATAACTTTCTATAAAAAATGGTTTGGGCACATTTGTTGCAGTCAGCTATCCACTGCATATAATGGGGCCAATGGAGGATACGGTCTCATTCCAAATAGCTCCTACTGCCCCTTCCACATTCACCACCATTCCGTTTAATCAGTACTTTACCCCAACAAGCAAGAGTTTAAAAAGTTGATTCCTTTAACATTCTCCAAATCTAATCTTGAGTAGTTTTGCTTAAAAGTTACTCAATTGAGAACACTTGATATAAGTACAATTATCAGTAACTTAGTTATTTTAAGTGGCACTGATACTACCATTACATCACAGTGCACAGCAACACAAAACAAGATGAAGTCTCTATTTTCTACAATAATTAACGGGGTTTAACACAGATTAATTACTGAGTATTGAATTTGGTATGAAACAATTGTCAACTACCCTTAAATATTACTCAGTTTAAACATTAGTACTTTATCTTATTTTATACCTGTACCTTAAGTAAGGTTTTAAGTTGAAATGTCATTATTTCCTTATCAGAAGGATTAAAGGAAACAGGAACCCAGTGGCTTGGTGGCTTAGGAAGCACACTTGGTGATGGCGGCTCACTAAATTTGGCTCCAGCATAGTTCTGATTCGTTTGAGACTTAAAAAGCAAGCTGGGACTTGATAAGTTGGAGTTCCAATTTTGATTATTTGGAAAGTTTTTGTTCTTCCCCCCATTTTGCATGGCCTGCCATGCAGCTGCTGATGTGTTATAAGTATGTCCTCTTTCTTTTTTCTTATGAACCATCTTCATCTGGGAATTTTGATCCTTGGTCTTCTGTCTATTAAGTTGTTGGTTCTTACTAACATTTCTAGATTGAGGGGCTGGAATGTTATACCTCTCTCCACCACCCATCTTCAGCTTCTTTGTCACCTGTAAGTGAATGGAAACAAAATAAGACTCCATTAAGAAAAACTCAAAACTTTAAGGAGCTTCTAGAGTATCAACTTGTTACTCCAGAAACCTTGGGGAAGACTAAAAAATGTGCTATTCAGCCCTGGCAGGATAGCTCAGTTGGTTAGAGCATCCAGATATGCCAAGGTTGCGGTTCCATCCTTGGTCAGAGCATATTACAAGCAGCAGCCAATGAATGCATAAATAAATGGAACAACAAATCTATGTTTTTCTCCCTTCCTCTCTTTCTCTAAATATTAACTTAAAAAAATTTTAAGTGTGTTATTTAGCTGCTTTAACTTCATTATATGTTCACACTGCACTATATGCAGTTATTACCTTTCTAAGAAAAATGACCGTACCCACAAATCTGAGAAATCCTCTACTTAAAAATAAAAACAAGTGGTTTAAGGATGAGTCTACCATAAAATGTTTACCCCATCACAGCGTGGATTTTTAAAATACCTTTCAGTCTGCTTTTCAGATTGCAGGATTTCCACTGCCTGTCCTCTTCCTTGTTGCCAAGCCCAGGATAATAGATGTTGCTTTCTCTCAGATCCTCTCCTTTGTCTCAATGCATAAGTTCTCATGGGCCAATCTGCGGAGTTCAGCCTAGGAGCTGAGGCCAACATCTGAGTCTCCTCAGCACACACGTTTGAGAGAAGTCTTAGCTAGAAAAGTAAAGTGACTTCATTAATTCAAATAAACACAGGAGAAAAAGTGATCGTTTATAGTTACTACAGAAATAGCCGACCACTTCCTGAACTTAAAGGCAGGAAATCTGAAGATGGCTTGCTTTTCCCCGTAACTGTCATCACTGACGAACTCTCATTGAGAGACCCAGGCACCCTTCCCAGGGAATGTGGGGCCCGGGCCCCAATAAGCTGTTCCTATCTTCTTCCCGGGAACTTTCCAGATTCTCAAACGGCTTATGTGACCACAACGTTGAGTCCAACTAAGGAAGCATTAGCCTTTACAGCCGTAACAAGAAATTAGCTTAAAATTCGTTTTCTAAAAAGATCGTGTTACTGAAGTCCCAAGAGACTTTGTCATCTCTCGACACATCCGTTTTCATGAGGCCTGTTTCCCAACATGTCTCATCACGCAGTTTCCTTTGGTTCTGAACTCAACTCCTCCCCGTTTTAAGTAAGTTTTCACACGCCAAGCCAGTTCCCGTCTTGAGCTATAAAAATGCCTCCCCACAGTCAATGTTAGACACTCAAGACTCCGTTTTCACGTGATACTCCAAGAAATGAGAAACGAAGGTATCAGTAAGCCCTCCTGAAAGGGTAAAAGGGCCTATTTAACAGCCTTAAATAAATTACGATCTCCTGGGCCTTGAGTCATCTACAACGCGAGCCCGGAAGTTCGCTTCTTCCGCCGGGCCCGGGAACCCGGGAACCCGGGAACCCGGTCCTCCGGCCGCCCCCGCCCCGCCGGGCTCCC